CTCGCCACACCCACCCTGGGGCTTCTCAGAAGTGCGAGCCCCATTTCTGGGGCTCGCCATGCCCAACTTGGGCTACTCAATATGGTCCCCTCTCTGGGGCTTGCCATGCCCGCGCCTGGGCTTCTCAAGAGTGCCCCTCTCTAGGGCTGGGGTCTATACACCCCGTATGCTGCGTCCTCCTGGCCACCGGGGTCCTCACACTCCACTGTGAGGCCCCTTTATGAGTCCTCCTCCAACCCCTAATAGCCTCACCCTAGCCACCGGTGTAATACATAACAAAATGATACAGAAACTCGAGCCTCCTGTCTATAACTCAAACACACGCCTTCCGGCTATAACAACATTGCTCAACTCTGGTCAAGCTGTACTTGCCTTTAGGCTTCTCCTCACATCCCTCCTTCAGGAGCCCGAGCCCGAGCCCGAGCCCCTGCCCCTGCCCCTGCCCCTGCCCCTCTGGCTGCTGGCAGGAAACTACCAGCTTGGCCTCAGCCCTGGGCCTTATGAGGGCCAGGCCCTGCCCCTTCCGGTCAGCTGACTTCCTGGTTGCCCCGGGCAACCCACAGCTGTGCTCCTTCTTCCCTGCCAGGGCTCTCTCCCTGGCAGTTTCCCTTCTCTAGGAGCAGGGCAGGTCAGTGCTCTGCGACAGTTGGGTTTTTTTTTCCCTGTGCATGTCAGCGCCCTTCATTTTTAAGTTGACTATATCAAGTAAAACTTTTCTATTCCTTTGATTTATACAGTGGATAGGATTTTTTTTTTTAACTAAGGAAAACAATTCTGAAACCATGCTGATTTTATTTCCATGATATGTGAAAGATGCTCTGCAAATCATTCTTAGTTTTCAAGAGGATTAGCATGTGATCAGTAGAGCTTATTGAACTTGATCCTGATTTGATTTCTTTCTCTGACTTATTAGCTCCAGTGCATCCTATCAGCATATAGCAGCACAGCTGATAAAATGGCAAAGTCCAATATTGATATCATCCTTCCTTAATCACTTACTTCCTCCTGAACTTGTCTCGCATTTTCTTAAGTTTGACCATTGCACTGAAAGAGAGAATCCTTTCATCATAAAATATACACTTGTCTCAGGTCTTGTGTTCTGCTTCCTTACACTCTCTCAAGACTCAGTTCTTAAAAGCAAAAAAAACTGTCAGAAATATTCAATGAAAAAATCATTTAAAAACATGAAAATTTGACCTGTGTGTCATTTTTTGATGCTTCACTTCAACATCCACATTTTAGCAGTGCTCCAAGTCATCTGTTGCTTATATCCTATTCAATTCTTATTTTAAGGCAGCTGTATGCAGCACAAAGATGACAAGCTGAATTTAAGAATATTTCCACAACAGTAAAATTTCATTTGGAGTTAATCCTGCTATTCTTTTTATATTTTTGGTATGGAGTCTTTTTGGAGGAACAGTTTGAATGTTTAATTTAGTTGTTTGAAATTCTTTGAGTTGCTGAGTCTGATCAATGTGGTCAGTAGACTCCTCAGGATTTTATTTTAATTGTTCAGAGGAAGTAGCTGCACTTCTTATGCTTGTCAACTATGTAGTCTAGTGTCTTCCCTACTACCACCCAAGGGCTTGATCCCTAGTTTTACAGTTGCTTCCCCACCACCACCCAAGGGCTTGATCCCTAGTTTTGAACAGTTGCTGGGAAGGGTGCAGAGCTCAACCAACATGTTGCTGGTGCTGGTTCAGAGACATAGTAAAGTGGTTTTGTATTACCCCATTAAGAAGTGTCAGAGAGGACCTCTGGTCATCCTGGACTTGAAAAGGTACAGTTACAGTTCCCTGAAAATACTGGAAGACATGCCATTTTGCAGAGATGTGGCACAGGAAAAGTAGGCCATCAAACACTTTTCCTATCCTTCTGCTGCCAGAATAAGGTCAAACTATTCTTTCTTCTCCCTTATAATGAACAAAAGTTTAAAAGGTGGCTGTCATCCCACCTGCTGTTCAAGTTCAATGAATTCTTCTTTTCATAATTTGAACAGAAGAATAACAAATTTGCAGCCAAGAAAAATGTCATAAATGAAAAAATGCTCAAAATAAAATGTAAAATTGTATAAACAAAAATTAAAGGAAAATATTAATCACTTTAGCATATTTCCACCAAGAAGAAATTCCTGTCCCATAACTTACACACAGCTGCCACCTAGCCGGATGCATCTTTTCGTGAATAGATTTGGTTTTCTTTTTTTTCAATATTCTGACTACTCTGGTGTAACCCTCCCCAGTAGATATTGCTGAAGACAGTTTTGTATTAAAATTTACTCCTGAATATATTACAAACAAGAATGTTTCACATGTCACACTTAAACAACAGTCTTGGCCTTCCTTTCTTAAAATAATTTCTGTATTAAATAATAAAATTGGTCAATGATGGACTTTTTTCCTTCAAAAAATGGACACTAAACAAATGAATATGCTGTAAGGTTAGAATTATTCTCAATACTTTTCAGTATTGTCCTAGTATGTCATTGTCCATCATAAAACTCCTATTGATTTCCAAGGAAGTTAATCCAATACTGAGTAGTTCAGAAAATGTCACCCCAACATTATATTCTATTCCAAAAGTCATTTGTTTTGCATTTGAATTGGATATTCCTGTTTTAAAGCCAGATGTTGGATATAATATGTCTAGTGAATAGGGCTCTCAACTAGGATTTAGGAAATTTGTTGCTATTTCTGGCCATGAACGCTACATACCCCTGGAGGCTGGGGGGAGCACAGTGACCGCCCAGAGGTGGCCATGGTGGGGGCGTGGCAGCAGTGAGTGGGAAGCTCCCACAAGCAGCTGCGGCTGAGTTGGTGGGGGGTGGTGAGCACTGACCAGCAGTCAGCAACCACCCGCCGATGCCTCTGATAGCATCAGCAGTGGCCAGCAGCAATTAAGGACTGCCCACAGATGCTGCTGGTGGTGTCAGCAGCAAGGAGGGAGGTAACAAGAAGCAACTGCCCACTGGCACCACTGGCAGCACATTTTGTAAGGGGTGCACTGCCAAGCTCAGGGGATGCACATGCACCCGTGTGCACCCACTATGCATCGCCAATGTTTCTGGCTATGCTGCTGGTCTGCTGGATGATCTTGGGCAAGTCACTTAACCTTCCTGTGCCTCAGGCAGTTTATTTCCAAGTAATTACTTATAAAGATGTAGAGTGGCCCTACTCCTTTTGACAGTGATGGAACACATGTCCTGGTCTTATTTTTACTTCTGGAATGTGTACAAATTCCACATACATACCAAATTTGCAATTTTTGATGTTTATCTCCAAACAGGAAGTGTGTGTAATCTCAAATGACACAATCAGAGACTTCATTGCTCTGGTTCTTTGTAGCCATTCCATCTTGAATTTTATGACAAAATGATTGTGAAAGGGTGTGATTGTTATTTTTTTCCCTCCCCCCACAAAGGGTCTAAGTAACTTCAGAACATAAATCCCACTTAAGCATGCTTGAAAATTGCATCAGAGATGAATAAGGTCATTTGACAGGAATGAAATGCAGTGAAGTCATTAAATTAAGAGTTTATGATTGTTATAAGGTCTTTATGAATGGAGTTACTTAATGTCTTATGAAATACTTGTAATGTTACACAGAACACTTGTAAGATCTTGATTTACCTTTCCAAAGTGTTTCTTTAACTAACATCAGGCATGATATTAGCTTTTGTTGATACATAGGTAGGGACCTCCCTAAATCGTGGCAATGGCTCTTGTAATCTTGCTCAGTTTGCTGCGTGCCCAACTCTTTCCACCCCGCTCCGGTTGGCAGAGGGGCCCCAGTAGCTCTGCCACTTGGTGCTGATTAGTTTGGAGGCAAAAAGCATGGTTTTTAAATTATAGTGCTGTTTTTGCCTCAGCAACAAGTGGTGGGGCTGCTGGATCCCCTTGGCCTATCAGCAGTGGGAGGCAAAAATGGTGGCATATTTAAAATTGCAGTTTTTGCCTCCTGGCCAAGGTGAGCAGTGGGGCTTCTGGGACCTCTCCGCCAATTGAGTAAGGGAGGTGCACGGCAAATTAGCAAAATCAAAGGAGACACTGCACGGCACACTTCCACCATGATTTCAATAGGTCCCTATTTATAGGTAGTTTTTGATCCTTGAAAAGGAAACATCTCTGAAAGAATTTTGTTAATTTTATTTCACTATCTATATACTAGAAGAAAGTTTAATCAGCACTATAAAAATATGCATAATTCCACTGTCCTACGGAGACACTGGGATTAATGAGAGAAATGCAAGCAGGCATTAATAGCTGTTTGATGTGATAAGGAATTCTATAACTTTTACTTTACCTTTTGTTTTCTCTTTAGTTCTCCAGCAGGGATGGTTGAAGGAACCCCACAACTTCATGCCAATGCCTGGAAAGTTTCCTCATCCTGTTTTGTGCCTGTCAACATCCCTGTGGTTGATCCTTGTAATATTAATCAACAAAATGGTATGTTCTCACCTGGGAATTTTGATTTGGATTGATTTTTAGCCACTTCATTAGGTCAGAATATTTTTCCCCCTTATAATCTGAGTCTCATAGTTACTTGCAGATCATATACGAGCATTATTTTAAATTCAATCTATACATTGAAATTATCCCCCATTTCCTCTCCCCTCTTGCTTTAGTAAACATCCTTTTTTTGGCTTGTTTAATTCCTATAATATATCAACTGAAATAAGCCTTGGTACCTACTAATTTGGTTATTCATTTTGGACACGCTTGTTTTTCAAGGAATGCATGTTTTGCAAGTTGGATGCCCTTGGGTCTAAATTTTACTCTGACATGCTACATAGTGGTTGCCTCTTTTGACTCAAACAACTAGCCAGAATTTCAGGTTTATAGTTTGTTTCAGTTAAGTTGGAGAAACTGGTCATGGAAATGGGTGTTTCTTTGAGAGAGATTTTTTTTTTAATTGACAAAGGATGCATATATCATGTATTAAATCTGATTTACCTTAGTACAGAGGAATTGAACTTTCAAGTTCAGCTAGCACCAAAATACAAAAATCTTCTCTGTAGACTTCTCCCTGGGATGTAGTATTGTCCAGACTGTATCTGGACCTTCCTTCACTGTCTTTCTGTGTCATACTGGCTGCTATATACTTTCTCACTTTTTTCTCTTTGTTCTGGCATATGTGTTCAGTCAACTCCAACAATACCCAGATAAACCCTCTGTCCAGATGGTTCAAATTCTTGAGTGCACTTGCCTGTGCTTTTGTTCTGGGTGGTAAACTGCACCTACTTCTAGGTTTGAGGTCTCTACATTTGTTACCTACATTTAACCCAAATGAAGGATGGTTATTAACATTTTC